TTGGAACGCATTAAACTAAGTTTAATGCGTTCCAATAGGTTTTCCTGCCCCGCACAGCGATGTTTTCGTATAGCGAAGGTTAATCCGGAACGGATTAACCTCGCTATACGGGGCACCACTGTATTTGGAGCAGAGGGGACAAACAAAAAACGTGCTAGCTTTGTTACCATACGTATCATCTGTAATGCACGTTTTTTGTTTGTCCCCTCTGGATTCCTATGTGTAGGAATGTTCTCCATGTTGTGATTAAAAATTCAACAGATGCGTTCAAAAAGATGCTCCCTTTGGCAACTTAAAGTGGTCCTGTCCATTCTAACTCCTCACGATTCAACTTTTCCATGTGGAAGAGTGGGCTGCTCCAGTTGACTGTCATCAGTAGTGCTGGGTTCATCACAGAGAAGCCACAGCTGCACCACTTAGATGATGATGGTGATAGTCCACTTTTTGTCCATGAAAACTCACATTAATATACAGTATATATATAAAGTTAATTTTTATGGTGCCACCATGTTTTTGTGTTTTTTTTACTTTTATTTACTTATCATATATTTATCATTATCATCATCTTAATACTGCAGAGTTGGATGACCATTTAAAAAAAAGAACAGAAAGAGTTAATTGTTAAAACGGTCAGAGCAGAATTGGTATAGATTGGTATAAAGAAATGTGGAGTTTAACGATAAATGATAAGCTAACATGTGAAATAAAAGTAAGAAGGGGAATGACAAAATATAATGATTTTAAAGAGATATGGAATTCATATTTGAACTATGTTTTTGTAAAAGGGAGAGGTCATAAGCCAGCAGAAGAATCAATGTATTTTGGAGTGGAGAGATTAAAAGGAAATATTTTGTTATCCGGTCCCGAGGGTGATGGTGGCACAGAGGGTAATTGTTATAATTTTGCACAGTAACATTTTATGTTAGTATTGTTCTTATTGTTTTCCTTTAATTAATAAAAATACTCTCTCTCTCTCTCTTTCTCCCTCACCCTCTCCCTCCCTCCCTCCCTCCCTCCCTCTCTGTCTCTCTCTCTATATAACCTATTAGGCATGCTCACGGGTGGGCAGGGTGCACTTGTGCGCATGCACGGGTGAGTGGGGCATACTTGCGGGTGGGTGTGGCACGCTTGCATGCATGGGTGGGTGGGCCGTTTGTGCATGTGGTTGTGCGTGGGGGGAGTGCGTGGATGAAAATGGAGATTTAAAGGGGGACGGGAGATCTGTCTCCGCAGCCCGGTCCTGTAAAGGCCATAGACCAGCTGCGGACCGGAGGTTAGGGACCCTATATCTATATCTATATCTATAAAATTAAAGAAAAACAATAAGAACAATACTAACATAAAATGTGTGTGTGTGTATAAGAACTGCAGAGTTGGAAGGGACTTTATGGCTCATCAGGTCCAGCTCTTGTCAAGGAGGCACAGTGGGGAATCGAACTCCCAACCTTTCGCTCCACAGCCAGATGTCTAAACCACTAAGCTATCTTGCACTGCTTGGCAATGCAGGAAGCCCCAGCGTTCCAGAAAAGGTTCTTCTGCTGTCACGCCATTCCTCCCCAAAGGAACTGGAATACAGTGTCTTGAGTAGTGATGCTGCACCATTTCTTACAGTACCTCACTCTGATTCACTGAGATTGGTTTACACCTGATTTTTAACTACCAAGGTCATCAAAATGTGGGCTGCAGATCACTGAACTTACCATACTGAAAGAAAAAAAATAGTAATGAATGAATGTGAATGAATGAAATTTCTAAAAAGCTGGTGGTTCTCCCAGAAGGTTCCAAGGCATGCAGCTGGACATTTAAAGGCCATTCTCCCCCTCCAGCTTGCTTCAGGCCCCAAATAGTCTTGTTAAAAATGGGTAAGTTTAGGCAACTGAGAGTCCATGGTGCCTGCCTTCTCCTGGTTTACACTTTGCTGAAATACCTTGAGAAAATCATCTGATGGGCTCAAACTGAACTATGAATATTATTTTCTCCGTCAGGATAAGTATTCAAGCAGATCTCGTGTCTGTGTCAGCAGTTCTATTGGTGGACTACACTATTGATGCATCACTAAGGATGTGAGTATTTACTGACATGTTGATTCAGGTTTTGTAAAGAAAAAAATATGGGAATGGCCTTTTTGTTGCAATGGAAGAGAAAATGCTAAAATATGACAAGTGCTGTGTTGGTACATCTTTCTCCTTGAGAAGACCTCCTCTCAGAGCATGCTTGATGTCTTGATAAGAGTGGCTGTGAGACTTGGACAGTTTTAAAAGAGTACTGGATAAATTCAGGATGGATACATACTCCTTTCAGTGTCACAAGACAGTATGACACCTTCATATTTCAGTTGCTGGGAAGCACAATCAAGGGAGGCAGATGTTCTCATGCTCATCATGAGTTTCTTATGGGCTCTACATGGGCATCTAGGTGGTCACTAGATGGAAAAGATGCTGCTGGACTAAAGAGGCCTCTAGTCTGATACAGTACTGCAGGTTTTTCTTTAGGTTCCTCGGACTTTGCTTCTAAACAGACCAGTGACATCCAGCTGGCCACTGCTGACAACAAAATGCTAAACTATAGGTATTGCTGGTCTTATAGAAAACAGAAATTATTCAGTTTCTGGCATGCAACCTTGATTATGTTTGTTTGCCCATTAAAATATGAAAGTGGAATGCAGGATAATGATGATGATTAAATTCAGTGCTTACCTGCAAAAATGTTCACATACAAAATGTGTGTTTGATTTCCTGGAGTTTTTGTTTTGCTTTTGTTTTAAATTTAGCAATCTCTTACTTTTTTTCATAAAAAAGTAATTGTCGTTGAACCATTGGGAGTTGGAAATTCATTTCTGATCGACTGTGAATCATCCAGTAGATCTCAACATCTGGGGACCCAAGATTGGGAAGCACTGCAAAATAATACACATAAAACAATTTATATCTTAAGAATTATCATGTTTCGCCTTAAGTGCATTAGCATACTTTGCACTACAGAAGGAGATGGAACTCCAGGAATATTCTGTGTACAAAAAGTGGACATGATACAGCCTTCCAGATGTTGCTGGACTGAGTCTCCCAGCATTCCTCTCTACCAGTTATGAAGTGTGGGACTGATGCGTTTTTTTAGTCTGGCAGCATCTGGACGGCTGTGTTGTGCCCTGATGTACTAGTAACCACTGGTGTCATGCTGGCTGAGGTTGTTCTACTCTTCTTCCACCTTCCCTGTGCCTTCTAATGTTTTTAAAGAATGATGCCATATAAAATCAGTTTTAAAATTATTTTTAAGGATTTTAAAAATCTTTTTTTGGGGGGGGTGCATAGCATTGTGAGCCCTTATGGGCTGAAAAGTGAGAAACACTTCTAATAAAGAAATGAAATTTTTAAAAAAACACTGTGTGATACAAACAATTAATTACCTAAGAATGCAGCCTTCTAAACTTTCGAAACCTTTCCCTCACTCTCAGTTTTCTCTCTGTTCTCCTCTCCGTGGCAGAATCCAGTCATGGCAGCAGTCATCTTTTAGTGGGACAGTCGTAGGTGAGTCAGCCATGAAACACGAGCAAGATGTGGGGAGTCCGATCAGCTTTAACTTCCAGGTAAGTTACTATTATTGCAACAGGCCAGAATCCTATTACCTATAGCCCCTGGCATTAAGTCCAGTGGTGTAAATCTCAGGGGTCAAGTTGCTACCAGTTAGGATGTTGTATTTTGTGTTGCACGCCAGTCATGTGATTTGGCACCGAACAAGAAACTTAAATAGCGACTTCTTAATTTGTGACAATTTCCTGTATCAAAAAGGGTGTTTGACTGTACCGTCTACAAGGCCCCTGCTAGCTTTGGGATTCTGTGTTTCTAATTTGCAAGACTGTAGACAAGTCCAAGAATTCTTGAAGGCTGCACATGCCCACTTATTTTTCTCTGTGCAGAATCTTAGACAAAAATGCCTAAAAAACACTTTATCTTTTCTAGTTCACATCCAAGGTTAGCAATCAGGCCACAGCAGGAACCCCCCCCCCATCTGTGGAATCAGTATCTGCTGATTCACTTATCCACTGGCTGAAAATACTAAATTAAAAAAACCAGAAATACCTATTTATATGTATTTCCAAGTTATATATACCAGAACTGGCACTAGAGGGAGCCAGGGACCATGCAATGTACTGTATATTCGACCCTTCCTTATATTTCAGCATTTGTGGGGGGAGGGGGCTTGGAACTGATACAGGGGTACTGTAATTACACTGCTTTGCTTGTAGTGAAACTGACCAGGTCTTTTTATACTGCAGATATTTGGAGATATTATTAGACTCTTTAATTACTATGTTAAGCTATTTGATTCTGTTTTGATTGTTGCAATTGGAAGCATCCCTCTTCTACCCAAAATTTGGTAATAAAGATGGACTTCATTGCATGGCTGAAACTGTATGTGACTTGCAGTTGAGCATATCACTCCATTCCCTTAGTTTTAAAACCAGAAACAGCCTTCAGTGGAAGCCAAGTAGAAACTGGGGAGAGTGTTCAACCCCTTTTCCTCCCTTTATTATTTTTTTTCAACTCACAGTGCCCTTAACTGTTTCTCTTAACTGTTTCTCTTTCCATAGCAGAAAAAGCTCGTAGAGCCAGTACTTTGTCCCTTGCAAGTGAGCGAAGCAAGGGATGGGGTGGGTGAGCATTTTGATCTGAAAAACAGTCCAAGGAGAAATGGTTAAGTTCTCTCAGCTTAAGGGTCTGCCTCCAGAGGCTGCTTTGTATTTTTAAAGAAAAATGAATCAAAGATGTATATAGGTGTATGTGTGTGTGTCTAACAATAAGTGGTTAGAGGAAAAGTTCTACAGTGGTGCCTCGCACAACGAGCGCCCCGTAGAGCGATGAATTCGCTTTATGGGGATGTTTTTTCGATCGCTAATGCAATCGCAGAGCGACAGCCCCAAGGGCAAAAATCGCAGAGCAAAGGTCGGTAAGTGGTTCGCTTACCGACCTTCGCTTTGCGACCCGCCGATCAGCTGTTCCGCCGCTTCAAAATGGCCGCCGGAAGCAGCAAAATGGCTGCGCGCAGTGTTTTCGCGCCCTCGTTAAGCGAGGGGAGGGCGCGAAAATGGCTGCCGGCCATAGAGGAACATCGCTGAACGGTGAGTAAAGGAGCCTTTTGGAATGCATTAAACACTGTTTAATGCGTTCCAATGGGCTTTTCTGTCCCGCTCAGCGATGTTTTCACACAGCGAGGGTTAATCCGGAATGGATTAACCTCGCTGTGTGAGGCACCACTGTACTGCTCTAACAGTTAGGAGGTTTTTCCTGATATTCAACCAAAATCTGGCTTCCTGTAACTTGAGCTCTTTATTTGGTGTCCTGTACTCTAGACGACTGAGAGCCATAGAGGAACATCGCTGAACGGTGAGTAAAGGAGCCTTTTGGAATGCATTAAACACTGTTTAATGCGTTCCAATGGGCTTTTCTGCCCCGCTCAGTGATGTTTTCACACAGCGAGGCACCACTGTGTGAGGCACCACTGTATATTTATTGTATATTTATGAGGAAAAAACACTTGTGCGAGGCACCACTGTATATTTATTGTATATTTATGAGGAAAAAAACACTTGTGGTTTTTTTTTCTGCCCAGGTAAAACACCTTGGGCTGGTCTCATCAGGAATTTCTTTTGATCTTCTAGGTGCTCACCAAGGGCGAGTCTTTGGGTTCCTTGGGCACCATCACATTAGGCTTTGAGTGGCCCTATGAAGCCAGCAATGGGAAATGGCTGCTGTACCCGACGGACATCCTGGTGAAAGGGAATGGGAGCTGGTTCTGTGAGCCCCCTGGTCAGGTCATCAACCCCCTCAACCTCAGCCTCAGCCTCAATGTAAGCCTGGCCTCCATTTCCTAGCCCTTTCTGCTTTTTCTTGCTTTTGTGTTCTCATCTCTTCATTTATGTTTTTAGATGTGCCACACCACCCACCCTGACCAATCACTCTTTTGGCTGTCAATGTTTGGGTACTAAACCCAATGCCATGTTTGTGTGCTACACCCAATAGATACCAGTAGCTCTAAATTTACACACATGCTAAGAAAGCTGTGGTTTAGAGCAGGGATCATGTAACCCATGGGCTACATGTGCCCCCAGGCTGTTTTTCTGGTTCCTGGGCCACTTCTCGACCTATCAGACTCCTCTGGTTTCAAACACACACAGCAGAGGTTGGCTGAAAGAAAGGTGAATTGCCACTCCTGGACCCCTCCAGTCAAGATGATCCACTTTTTATATTCCTTTCTTTCTTCTCACCCCAAGCAGTGGAATTCCGTCCACTTCCATTCTTATTTATTTGTTTTTACTGGGGGCACTCTCATCTTCCCTTCCTGTTCCGTTTCTTTTTCTTCCTTCCTTTCTTTGTGTTAACAGGTTGCTAACCTAGTGCTGGGGCAGCTGGGTGATCGAAGGGGGCAAAAAGAGGAGAAGAAGTTTTAAGGCAGCTGTGCTCTAACTGTGTCGCCTGCAACTCTGGATAGCCATAGGAGAGGAGAGCTTCCTTGAGACAGAGCAGCAGCTTGCGCATACTGAAACAAAATAAATAATCTGGGAGCTGATAATTAGTAAAAGATGCTTACATTTAACTTTTATTGGAATTCATTCAGAGGTTCTGTAGATCAGAAGAGAACTCCTTATTTAGTTTACACTTCTAGGGCTGTTTTCACAAGTGCAGGTACATTTGCACACTGTTGAGGGGGAGACAGATGGTGGTGCTTTTCTAAGACTATTGTTTTGAAATAGGAAGAAACCACCGCCTAAGAATCAGCAGTCTACATATCAGATAGGCAAAGGTTCCCCTTAACATTTAGTTTAGTTGTGTCCGGCTCTAGGACGTGGTTCTCATCCCCATTTCCAAGTCGTAGAGCCAGCGTTTGTCTGTAGACAGTTTCCGTGGTCACACTGGCCAGGTTCACATGGCCAGCGCGACTAGACACGGAACGGCGTTACCTTCCCACCAAGGTGGTATCTATTTATCTACTCGGATTTTTACATGCTTTCAAACTGCTAGGTAGGCAGGAGCTGGGACAAGCGACTGGAACTCACTCTGTCATGTGGTTTCGATCTTACGACTGCTGGTTTTCTGACCTTGCAGCACAGGGTTAACTCACAGTGCCACCACGTTCCTTCACATCAGATACAAGCACATATTTGGATGGCTGGAAAGGGAGAGATGCCTAATTCTGTCTATCTTTCTGTCTCTCCCTCTCTCTAGCAATTTAGTTTATGTATCATAAGTACAGTGGTGCCTCGCATAACGAGTGCACCGTTTAACGATGAATCCGCATAGCGATCTATTTTTTTAGATCGCTAATGCGATCGCATTGCGACGTTTTAATGGGTAAAACAGCGCATTGCGATGATCGGTAAGCGTTTCGCTTACCGATCTTTGCATTGCGATGTTTTTTGAACAGCTGATCGGCGGTTCCAAAATGGCTGCCGAGTGCCCAAAATGGCCGCCGCAACCAATTTCTCGCCCTGCCCTCGCTTACCGAGGGCGCGAAAATGGCGGCGCTATGGAGGAACTTCGCTGAACGGTGAGTTTGGGCCCCATAGGAATTCATTAAACGAAGTTTAATGCGTTCCTATGGCTTTTTCCATTCCGTTTAGCAATGTTTCCTCATAGCGACGATTAAACCGGAACGGATTAACGTCGCTATCCAGGGCACCACTGTATTAGAGCTCAATTTTCAATGATGTTCCTTGTGTCTGATAGAAGCTGGGATCCAGAATGATAGACTCAAGCCTTCCACTAAGAGCTCTTGTCTCTTTATGTGATTCTATCATCTTCTTGAGCTTGTAGAATCTCAGAAAGAGAAAGCTGGCCACTTCCCCCTTTGATTTATATTTCTGCATTGAGCAGGGTGTTGGACTCAATGGCCGTAGAGGCCCCTTCCAACTTCATTATTCTATGATTCTGTGATTCCTCTCCTTTTCCAGGGACTTAACGGCAGCAACATAATGTCACGGAAGAAACGTGAGCTGGAAGCATCTGCCAAAAGTGAGCTTCCCATCACTTTGGCATCTTCAAAGAAAGCCAAGCCAGAAACATTATTGGTGAGCATTTTATCACATTTGTCATTTCTGCTCTCCGAAATAACCATCTTCCTGCTCCCTCCACCCCGATATGCTGTCTACTTTCTTTTAAAATTCTGCCTTTGTTTCCAGAACTGTTCCAAAGGAAGTCGCTGCATTTGGTTTGAGTGTCCCTTGAGGGACATTGGAGCTGTGACAGAGGTGATAATCCGAGCACGGGTGTGGAACAGCACATTCATTGAGGTGAATGCTCTTTCCTCTCCAGTCCTCTGCAATGCTCATAGTGCTGCAGAAGAGCAGAGTATTGAACTAGAATTGCACCCCATCCTCAAGGATCAAATTCTCCATTTCAGACAAACCACTCACTGAATAACCTTGGGACAATCATCTGTTTGCCTAGTCTACCTTGCAAGGTTGTGTATTTGGCATAAAGTGGGAGTCGGGGAACCACTTAAGCGGTCCTGAATTCCTTGGACAAAGATGAAAATAACAGTCTGGTGGTCATGGTGCTGGTGCTACCATCTGTTTGCCTAGTCTACCTTGCGATAAAGTGGGAATTTGGCATAAAGTGGGAATCGGGGAACCACTTATGCGGTCCTGAATTCCTTGGACAAAGATGAAAATAACAGTCTGGTGGTCATGGTGCTGGTGCTGCTGGTGATGATGATAAAATAAGTATAAATTAGGCAGTGGCTCAGTGGTTTAGGTATCTGGCTGAAGAGCCATGGGCTGGGAGTTCTGTTCCTCACTGTGCCTCCTGTGAGAAGAGCCAGCTTGTGCAGCCATGGGCAAGTTGCGAAGTCCCAAGGCATTCCCACAAGAAGGGAACATGTCTCATGCTGAAATGTTTTTCCCCAAGGGAAAATCTGAAGCGGTATACCGGCTGAGGGCAGCGTCTCGTAGTCTGCTTGACATGGAACTGCTGGATAGCTTAGTGGCTGAGGTATCTGACTGTGGAGTCAGAGGTTGGGAGTGTGATGTGCCTCCTTGAAAGGGGCTGGACTTGATTATCCCTTCCAGCTTTGCAGTTCTAAGATGATGATGATGCCTGTTTTAAAAAGGGGCTCAGTTCCCTCACCTTTGTGAGTAGGCCTGGTTTCCTCAGAAAGCCACCTGTTTAGGATAAATTGGTGAGTCCAAGGTCACTGTTTGGCATTTAAAAAAAAAAATCTTTTGCCTTCATTGTTCAATAAGTGTGTGTTATATGCCATCAAGTCAGTCCCACTTATGATGACCATAGTAAGGTTTCTGAGGGATGAGAGATATTTAGGGGGTGGTTTTACCTGTGCCACTGAGTTTATCAGTGTCATCATTATTACTAAAGCCAGAAGTTCTTTCCCCAACATTGATGTCTCTGTGTTCTTGGCCAATAGACTCCAGATCATCATCACCACCACCACCCTCACCATGGCCATCCATGTAAATTGTGTAAATATTCTGAAGAGTTTCACAGCTTGTCAAAATGAGCATCATATGCTACATATCCAGTAGTTAGGAATATTCTGGAAAAAAGCGTTGAAGTTGGCCATTTTAATATGTACTTTCTTTCCCTGCGGAAATGCAGGATTACCGTGACTTTGATCGTGTGCAAGTAACTGGAGAAGCCACACTGTTTCTCAGGACAAACGTCTCAACAATCAACATGAAAAACCATACAGTGAGGGTGAGTGAAGCCGGATGTGTAGATTCCATGCTGAACTGATGCCTTTATAGACCAACCAGAAAGGCACAAGAAAGCGTTTAAAGGCACAAAAAATGCACAAAGTTTCAAGAGGATTATCTTTTTATCAGGCATAACCGTAAAAGTAAACAAAATGGAAGATATTTCCCATATTTCCTGCTCTTCTTTTCCAATAAGATGACTTCTCTTTTCTTCGCCCTTCTTGCTTTACTATAGTATACTGTGAACATTGACTCTGCACTGAGTGAAGAACAGCCGGCCGAGATTGAGCTCTGGGTGGTGCTGGTCGCAGCTGCAGCTGGCCTTCTGCTTTTGGGAATCATCGTTTTGCTATTGTGGAAGGTGAGAAAAGAAGGCTTTTTCAGTCAGGGGAGAGAAGGAGGCAAGGAGAGAATGTCTCCTTCCTTTCCTTCTTAACCTGGTTTACAATGGTCACAACCACAGGGCTTGAAAAAAATTACTTTATTGGACTACCTCATTGAGAATTCTCCAGCCAGTTATAGCCAGTGGCCATGCTGACTAGAGATTCTGGGCGCTGTAATTTAAATTTAAAAAAAAAAGAGAGAGAGAAAAGCACTTGAGGTTGTCGCTGTAATTTAAATTTAAATTTAAAAAAAAAAAAGAGAGAGAGAAAAGCACTTGAAGCTGTGAGGGAAATGATCCAGAAATGACTGCTAGGAAGCTTCTCGGTGACTCTTGTTGCAGAGGGAAAGCAGGGGAAAGATTGTTTATGGGACGTTAACTGACTGAGCAGTATTTTCAGAGCTGACATAAATACCTTGGGTGGATTGGTCTGAGTAAAGAACAAAGTGTTCATGCATTAAGCCACAGTATAACTAGCTGGGCCAGTTTCTAATGTGGGCCAAATGGAAAAAAAGTTTGGCATTCAGCTGTGTCTACAGTGACGTAATACATACTCCCAATTAGGATGTTGGCCTTTCAGCTCAAGCCCTTAATTCTGGAAAACAGCCAAGGAGCTCATTTTCACTTCAGGGTGTAGAGGATGCTTGTTTTGCCTCACGCAGAAAACTTGTTGAGCTGCTTAGGAAACCATATTTAGATCCTAGTTAACGCTAAGATGAAATGATAATATCAGTCATCGGGGTTGCAGCTGAAACCCCTCCACCACCAAAATGCCCACCGGCTCAATGACTTGTTTAGGCTTCTTAAGCAATTTACTTGTTTGCCAAGGGCCAGAGCCCAAACAGGAGCCCTGAGACTTCTGGATAACACATGTTCCTGAGACCTGAGGAATTTTCATGACAGGACGTGGTGGCGCTGCGGGCTAAACCGCAGAAGCCTGTGCTGCAGGGTCAGAAGACCAAGCAGTCGTAAGATCGAATCCATGCGACGGAGTGAGCTCCCGTCGCTTGTCCCAGCTTCCGCCAACCTAGCGGTTCGGAAGCATGCAAATGCAAGTAGATCAATAGGGACCACTTCGGTGGGAAGGTAACAGCGTTCCGTGTCTAAGTCGCACTGGCCATGTGACCACAGAGTACTTGGTTACCAAGGGCCAGAGCCCAAACAGGAGCCCTGAGACTTCTGGATAACACATGTTCCTGAGACTTGAGGAATATTCATGACAGGACAGTTTCTTGGGGCAACTTGTGCAATCCTTTAGTCTTAAGGAAATTTACAGGACAGTTTCTTGGGGCAACTAGTGCAATCCTTTAGTCTTAAGGAAATTTATGTATTCATCCCCTTTGTGCTTGTATGTATCTCAACAATACTGTCATCAGCTACGGTGGTTGGGAATGACAGTACAGCATAGTCCAACACATTCAGAGGACCCTAGCTTGAGGAAGGCTGCAGCAGTATGACATTTTCATATGGAAGCTCTTAATGGGCTCAACATGGGATTCCTTTGCACTGGAGAATGATGTGTAAGAACCTAGTTTGACCTAAACTTAGAAAAATTACTTTCTTGGACTGCAGCTTCTATAGTCTCCTGAGAAGCATGACACTGGCTCCAGGTACCAGGAGTTGTAATGACAAAAAAGAAGCATTTTTCAGGTTACTGTCAGCTTGTTTCATGCTGGTAGATATTGACTGAGGAAAGAAAAGCCTTCCCCAAGGTAGACAGTGAAAATGATACTGTACCTCTTTGAGCAAGAGGGCCTGGAATTCTTGAACTGGCTCTTTGACCCCCAATGACACCCCACTGCTGACTGTTTCTCTGTTGCTCCTGACCTTTGCCCCCTGCTTCCTCATAGTGTGGCTTCTTCCGGCGGGCAAGCACAAGAGCCATGTACGAGGCCAAGGGCCAGAAGGCCATGATGAAGATCCAGCCATCTGAAACTAAGCGGCTGACCGACAGCTACTAGTTCCTGTCTCGGGTGGGAGGGACACTGCCCACCCCTTTGCCCTGTGTCTTGGTAAATCAGTGTGGGGCGGGTGGCTGGGTGGCTGGCTGGGTAAGGCCTTCCTCTTGCTCACTTTCTCTGTCTCAACTCCCTTACTTGCTAATCCTTCCCACAAGACCCTGGCTTGGACAGCTATCACCCATTGCTGAGGCATAGAAAGTGGAACCGGGAAACGACAACTAGCTATGTGTAGCTGCTTCGTACCAAGTAAGCTTCTTTGTCCATCGAGCCCAGTATTGCCTGCTCTGACTGGCAGCGGCTTTTCGGGATCTCCAGTAGAATCCTTCCCATGACCTGCTCCTTGTTCCTTTTAATTGGAGCTGCCAGAGATGGAACCAAGGGCTTTCTGCTTGCAAAGAATGAGCTCTATCTCTGATGGTCCCTTGATGAATACCCAAGTCTGGCCATCAAGAAAATGTGGTATTATTTGACCTCTGAGAAGGTCTTCATCCTCATTATACTGAAAGTCTATTTGCCACTTGCCAAACCAAAATTCAGATTTTGGTGTCATGAGAGGGAAAGATGAACAAGTAGAGCCTGAGGTGACAGAGAACAAAACTAAAACGTGTTCACTGGTTAAAGTCTTTGCTGCTGGATGAGGCTGCTGGTAAATCCTCTATGTTGCAGTGATCAGCCCTGTCAACACCAATATGCCCCCTTGGACTGTGAAGCACTGAAGGCAGGGGTTTCCCAGTACAATATATCAGATGCTCTCCACCAGGTGCTGATCGGTCTGTCAGCCTCTCAGTTTTACCTGTTTGTGTTGCTAACTCAAAAGTTTTCTTCTCCTAGGCTTTAATAACCAAATCTTTTGAGGGTGGCTTCTGAGATAACACCTTCCATAATAACAAGGGCCTTTCTCTTTCTCTTTTCCCCCTGTTCTTGATCAGTCCAAATGACCATTCTGACCATTGGCATGTTGTAATGGGTGTGCCAGTATAATGATCAGTCTTGGGATTACTGTGCTGTGAATAATCAGGACTTGGGGACATCATTCTTTTTGGACTACAGTTCCCAGAAATTCCCAGTCAACCTATGATTATGGCTGGCTGGGGATTCTTGGAGTTGTAATCCAGACAAATAATATATCCAAGCTCTGATTCTTATGAAGTGATGGTGCAGTCCCTGTGAAGAGCAACATTCTCACTTATTCACCCACACAATATAGGATCACAGCATACACATACCCAGAGGGATTACCATTTTAGCAAGGTGATTTAACATCTTGTTAAAGATGTTAAGTGGCAAAAACATGGCAAAACATTGTATATTTTATAATACCTTTTAAAAATTCAAAAACAGCTCTTTCTAATCACACTATTAAATTCCTGAAATGACAGGAGGTTGAAAGGGGTTATAGTTTAATTTTTTCCAAGGATTATATTGTCTACTGTTCCACTATAGAGGTAAAGCACTATGCCACTCTAGCCAGAATTCTGTGGTGGATTTACACCAGCATAAGTAAGTGTTATTGCTGAAATTGTGATTAATGAGTTGCTTGGCACATTCTTAGTGACTTAGGAAAGTGAGTGGCAGCTCATTAATTTGTGGCAATCCACCACTCTGATTTACATTGTCACATTTACACAATTGGATTCTGTCCTCCCTCATTTTAGTACTATTTTGAATTATTTCAATATATATTATTTTTAGATATTGATTTTGATAGCAATGGTGTCTACTGCGATGGATGCATTAGCTTAAAACTATTGTGCATTTGCACAAATGGCGTAATGTTCAGAAGTGAATTTCCACAAGTTAAGAAGTCTCCATAGACATTATCTGTTATATATAGAGTTGTGCACCCTGGTGTACAACAGGGTAGGTCTTACCTACAGCAGTGATGGCGAACCTATGGCACGTGTGCCACAGCTGGCACACAGAACCCTCTCTGTGAGCATACGAAGCATAAGTTGCCCTTCAGAAATACTTACCCATCCTCAGATCCCAGATTTTGACACTCCCCTCTAATGGTGTGGTGGTCCAGCAATGGTGACCATTACAAGTCTAGCCCAATGGGGGATTGGAGGGCCAGTAAGTATTTCTTTGTTAATACTGCCCTTAGGAAAAAAACAAAACAAAACAAAAAAACCCCAAGCATTTAACCCTTGCAGTGCAGGAGCAGTTATTTTTTCTAAACTAAAACCTCAGCATTTGGGTTTTAATTGCAGTACTGGCACTTTGTAAATTGATTTTGTGTTGCAGTTTGGGCACTTGAGCTGAAAAAGGTTCACCATCACTGCCCTACAGCAACCTGCCTCTAAAAGTTGTACCATTTCTGTAACTGCTACAGGATTTTAGCCATTGAGCTATGGTGGATTTAAATGACCTCTAAATTATTGCCTTTCAAAAGCCTGCATGTCTCTAGCAAAAGATAAAGGAGCAGTGCTAAGGTGGCAGTGACTTAATTCTGGAAGTCTGGCAGCTGCACATTCATCTTTTGAACCTGGAAAACTGCGTCCATTCCTGTTTCTCATTCTCTTTTCCTTTTTAAAAAAGGTTTCTCAGAAGAGTGAGGAAAATTATTTTTATAAATAATTAATTGAAGTTATTTAGGAAAAAAACAAAACAAAACAAAAAAACCCCAAGCATTTAACCCTTGCAGTGCAGGAGCAGTTATTTTTTCTAAACTAAAACCTCAGCATTTGGGTTTTAATTGCAGTACTGGCACTTTGTAAATTGATTTTGTGTTGCAGTTTGGGCACTTGAGCTGAAAAAGGTTCACCATCACTGCCCTACAGCAACCTGCCTCTAAAAGTTGTACCATTTCTGTAACTGCTACAGGATTTTAGCCATTGAGCTATGGTGGATTTAAATGACCTCTAAGTTATTCCCTGTTTCAAAAGCCTGCATGTCTCTAGCAAAAGATAAAAGAGCAGTACTAAGGTGGCAGTGACTTGATTCTGGAAATCTGGCAGCTGCACATTCATCTTTTGAACCTGGAAAACTGTGTCCATTCCTGTTTCTCCCATTCTCTTTTCCTTTTTTAAAAAAGATTTCTCGGAAGAGTGAGGAAAGTTATTTTTATAAATAATTAATTGAAGTTATTGTTTTAGATTTCCCAAAAGTAATCAGTTATCATTGTCACAAATTAGAAGTAATTATTTAGTTTCCAATTTCTCAAAAGCAAGTAAAATAGTTGCTTTTGGATTGTTTTAAAAAAATCTTCTGAATGCCATAAACCATTAGCCTATGATATAAACACATACATATTCATGCTCTTCGGCACATAACATTGTTGTGTTCTTCCTCTTCCATATAAAGAAGCCACATACCTATAATGATAAAAGTAATTAACAAGTTACAGCTTCCCTCCATAAGGTGTGAAGTTTATCTCTTGCTAAGCTACTGTTGCAATGCAATTTAGGTATAACTTCTTTATTGGATGAAGAGGAACTTGTGATTACTATCTACTTACTTTCAAACTCTGCTTTTTAGTTCCCAGACCTAGGCTGAGACTCAGCCAAGATGGTCTGCCTTTCAACTGTTAGAAGAAAATGGTCAGTTCGGTTGGACTGCTTTGCTATCTTTACCAGCTCATCTTTCATCTTGTCTCTCCACCTTTGGAATCCTTTTCTCACACAAATTCTCAACCTTGGTTTGTTGGAGTGCTTTACTTTCTCCGGCTAACTTCTCCTCTCTCTGACCTCATATTCCTTTCCTTGCACAGTGCAACTTTTTCAAGAGAACCCGCTATTATAGAATCATGCCAAAATACCATGCCATTCGGATCCGGCAGGAGGAGCGCTATCAGCCAGCGGGTGGTTTCCTGCCTCCAAAGCACAAGAAGCAGTGGGTGACAAACTGGCGAGAAACGGGAAGATACTACTGATGCCTTCACTCCCACCGTCTCCTTTTCATGTTCACGGGCTGCTTTGCTTTCTTTTGTAAATAGTGCTGGACCAACAAAGGAACTGTTATTTAAATCTAAATTATATGACTGTAGGTCAGGGATGACCCAAAGCTTTCTCCTCCAGCGACACTGTGATCTTAAGCAGAACACGCTCCTTGCAAGATGGACCACCTGGTAGGCATTTATGGGACACGAGGCACAAAACAGGCAGCTTTTTTCATTTCTATTGATGGATATCTCTCTTTTTAAAATCACCATTGTGTGCAAGAAGGGGACGGATTAGAAAGTTAGCTTAGCTTTGCACTGGGTGCCTACGTAACCAAACTGACTGCATTTGTGTAAGTACTTGTGTTAGTGACCCAAACACTAGAATGTTTGTCCTCTGGCTACGATTTTTTGGAGCTAATTATGATTTCATGAGGAGATGATTTATATTGACATTCAATTTCCAGTCAAATGAATTATAATCTTAGAACTCCAGAGGTGGAAGGGACCCTATGGATCGTCAAGTCCAGCCCCTGTCAAGGAGGCACAGTGGGGACTCAAACTCCCAACCTTTGGCTCCGCAGCCAGATACCTAAACCATGGAGCTATCCAGCGATTCAATGCAGCTTCTCTACTGCTCATAGGTAGTCGTTTTCAGAACCAACCCTGCTTAACGGTAGAGCTGTGTCTTGTGCCTTTAGACCCTCTTCTGGCCTTTCAGAAGATTCCTGCTGCTTACAGCAGTGATTATTTAGACAATGTCATGATGCCAGAACACAAAGGAATGTAGGAACCAGCCTTATACTGGGTCAGACCATTGGTATATCTGGTCAATACTTAACTGACTAGTACCATTAACTCTCCAGAATTTCTGCCATATGCCAGTCTTTCTCAGCCCCACCTGGTGATACTGGAGATTGAACCTGGGATCTTCTGCATGGCAAATATGTGCCCTACAACTTTCACACACTCTGATTCTTTCCCTCCTTTTGATAGGACTGCCATACAAAGCCACTATAATTTGCCTGCTTATGTGAAACCAAGTTTTTTTGCAGAATTTGCACAGAAAATGCTGGTGCAAGGCGCCTCCTGGGCCTGCACCAAATAGCATGGAAAACAGAATTCTTACATACCCACCTTTTAGAGCCTCACACAACACCTCAGCTTGTGTAAAGGCAGTCTTTTTTTTTACCATTGGGTTAAGTTGCCAGCTAGTGCAAACTCATCTATGCAAGGCTGCTTATAATTTTCACAGCTTTCCTTGTCTCTAATACATGGACATTAATTCCCCCCCCCCCATTTTAAAATATGTTTATTTTGTTCAGTGCCACCATTAATTTCTACATTTTTTTCATTCTGTCCCTGGTGAAAGATTAGAGCTTTCTGTCATTGTTTTCCTCTAAAGCTCTTGTTAAAGACTTCTAAGGAGAGGAGAGTGAATGGATTTCACTCCTCTCGCTTTGACTGCAGGATTGCAATTACCTCATTATCCTGCCCTATATTATTTTACAGTAAACACTGGATTTAGCACCACTAAATCTGCCTGCTGAGAACTACTGATCCTTTTTAGCTACTGTTCTATGTCCTTCTACGTCCTTCTTTAGAGGGACGGGTTAGTTTTACTCCTACTGTACTCCTGCATGTTAAGAAGCACCATGATGATCTCAGGTCTTGAAATGTAAGAAGGGAAGCAGGATTTTATTTCAATTCTAGAAATTATTTTCTGCAGTTTGGGAAATGTCAGTGACACTGATATCGTATAGTCAAGGCTTACAGGTTTAGGAACAGTACTTTTCCTTGCACACACTCCCCAGCTTCCCTTTCTCCTGTGTTGTTTTGATTTGTACACTGTGCCATAGTGTTAGAGCACTTTGGGCAGTTTACACCATAATTATGCACTTTGCCCTTCCACCAGCAACCTGGGTGTTCATGATACTGAACTTGGAAGGATGGAAGGCTGAGTTTACCTTGAGCAAGCTACCTGAACCCGTCAGAATCTAACTCAGGTTGTGAGCACAGGCTTGACCGTAGTGCAGTTTAAGCATTATACCATGGGGCAGAGTGCTCAGCTATGGTCTTCACGGTAGTGTGTGGAAGCGGGGATTACAGCAGTTACATACTGTGTTTCCCCAAAAATAAGACAGGGTATTAATTTTTGCTCCAAAAAATGCATCAGGGCTTATTTTCAGGAGATGTTTTATTTTTTTTTCACATGTACAACAATTTACATTTATTCAGATACAGTTATGTCATCTTATGGTTGCTGCACAATGGTGGAGGATGGGGTTTCACTTAACAAGGGCTTATTTTGGGGGTAGGGTTTATATTACGGGCATCTTGAAAAATCATACTAGAGCTTATTTTCGGGGAAACTGTATTTTTATGGGGTCTATACAATGGCCTGTACATCACAATTTCCAGTTACACCCCTAGCTGGGGAGAACGGCACTTTGTAGGCAATGTAGACTGCAAAGGCTTGACATCATCATGACTTAAAATCAGGTTCTACCTGAGCAGTGTAAATTCTCCCTTGAAAAGGGGGTCACATGTCTAAATGTTGCCGGCAGGAACACGAGTACTATCTGAAGATAGAATCCTAGAAAGATCACATGTGCCCTCTGTAACTCACTTCCCATCTCTAAGCTGTATATTAAATTATTAAGAATGTACCTATCTTTAGCTATGTGTACAGAATAAATGCTATACAGTATATATATTATATATATATATGTTTGTTGCTTACTGAAAGTTATCACTGTTCATGGTACTGGAGGTCTTGAAACATTGTGCCTTGGTTGTAAATACGCTTGAACTGAGTTATTTTATGAATAAAAAAGAATATCATTTGTAAAATTATGACTGAAGTGTTTTCTTTATTTTTTAACTATATGAATTAACTTCCTTGAACCCCTTTATCAAGGAGGCCCAGTGGGAACTGAACTCCGAAACTCTGGCTCTGGGCATAAACCACTGAGTTACCCAGCAATTCAAGAATCAATAATTCCCTTCAATCCATTTCAGGATCTTAAATCATTGAAATAGCTAAGGTTGAAATAACTACAGGGTGAAATAGCCAATCAATCTGGCAAAACCAAGTGCTCTTTGTTTTACTTTCAATCTCACAATAAGTAGATGTACTGTATGAGTAGCAGGGACTGGATAGGTTGTTAGAATGGGTGCAATCTTTAGCTGAAAGGTATCTCTGTCTAGCTAGATTAGGAATGGGAAATTTAGCAGGATTGGGGGCAAGGGACCCCCAGTACACTCCACCCAAAAGGGTATAAACACCTGCAGCTCTGAAATCTAGGATGACCACAAATCAGTCCCCAAATATCTGAGGGTTCTGCAAATAGCAAATCACAGTAAGGCGTTCAGAAGGTGTTCTGGGGAGCAACACCATAACCAGAATGGTGGTGGAGGTGAGGAAATACGCGATGTGTTTCAAACAGAAATTATGAGCTGATATCCCGCTGCAAGTCACAACCACAACCAGACCACTTGAAGCAGTGGAACCTATAGAGTTGAATCACCAATCAAATCCCTGCTGTTTCAGTGGGCCTACTCTAGTGTATCTTACTACATTAAGCACCAGGATTTTAAACATGGATCTTGATAGCATAAAGAGGCCTTCTGTAGTCTTTAATCATCATATTCTTTAGAAAGACAGGCTAAAAAAAATCCACAAAGCAAATGTCCTGTATTTGTTTTTCTGAATCAGATGTGTATCAGAAAATAAACAGAGCTTTCCTGGCTGCTTCAAAAGCTATGTGCGTTGCAGGTGGGAGTGAACCCTTACTTTTCTTCTTTTTGTATTTTTTGGTATTCTGTCAGATTCAAAGACATTGTATTGCCTGGTTTGCATTCTCCAAGAAGCATAATCTTGTTCCCTCAATGCCTGGGGTATGACTTCTGAAAATATTTTTAGTTTTACTTTGAGATCTCCTGCTGCAGCTCTAGTTCTATTACGATTTTGCAAAGTCCTAGCTAATGGTTGATGTCACAAATCAGAGGACAGACACTTTCCAGAGATAGATGTTGCTATCTTCTTCATAATTATCACCTATAATTTCCTCTTGTCTTCTGAGCTAAAAATGCTATGACATCTGTATCTACAGGAATTGCCTCCCATTTTTCAACGCAGTCTTTTCTTGCAACACTTCCTGCCCAGTTTTACAACCAGCACTCTTAACTGGGAGTGTGGATTTCACGCAACGACACTCTTTTCTAGGTGTTCTCCCAGATTGTGGAGTGCTCTGCCTCAGGAAGTTAAATTAGCCCCTTCTCTTTTTATTGCTTCTGTAACAGTTCAAGACCTGCCTCTTCAGGCAGGCTTTGAATAACTGTGACTGAGCCCCATCTTGAATGCTGGCTTATCTTCTTTTTAAATGTTTTCAGTTTTCAAAAATTTTGATAATCTTGTAATTGTTTTTAATTATATATTTTAAACTTTGTAATTCATGTTTAGCCTAACTTTTAATTTAGTTCTGGTCTAACGTGTCATTGTGAGCCTCCTTGTTCCCCACTGGGAGAAAGGTGGCTTAAAAAGGAAATGAATACTGTATAAAATAAACTTGGCCTTCTGAAGACAACGGTGGTGCATAAATAAAACAAATGACGACGATAAC